ATTAAACAAGATTAACAATGGAAGGTATTAAGTCTGTATTAATATTGTTAAAAAATTACCTATCCCAGGTGCATCTCCTTCTTGATACAAAAACTTCAGTGTTTTACTTCCTCCTTTGGCAAAAAATGTATCAAATGCTTCCAGCTGTTAAATCAAAAAGTAAATACTTGTCACTCAAAACACTACACTTTAACACGTCTTTAAGATAATGGAAAAATCATTTGAGTAGACAGCTGTCTTTTTGACAACATGTAATAAAGGTTTTATCCTACACTGTTGTGAGGAATTATAAAACCACCCAATTGATCCTTCAGACACTACTGTTGTTTACTGAACCTACACAGACAGACAGACGACCTAGTTCCTGAACTGTATATCACTGGTTGAATGTTTACACTCTCAACCAGTGTTGTGGAAACACTGGAAACATTTTGTCATTCATAGAGATCTGTTAGAGATCTGAAACTGGAAATAATCAATCTTAAGAACTTTAGAAGAATACACAGCAGATTTCAATAACATGACATAGCTGGCTACTGCAACTCACTCCCTAAATGTAAAATACTTGTTTGTAAAACAGCAGTAATATCAAATTTTAGAATTTATTTTGGAGACAAGTGCCCACATTTCAAAACCTTTTCATGACAGCAAAGATCTTCCCTGACCTCTAGGGGACCATCAGATATTAGAACCAAGGCAAACAATGCTGCCACATAATTAGCTTCTTGTACCTGTCTTTAAACTGCCGACCCTAAAATGCTACTGGTCTCTGGATAGCTTTCTTGATTTTGCCATGTTAAACATGGCGCTTCAGATAGTATGAATGTGCACATGTATACTAAAACCTGTTTATGTATGGATTACAATTTTGAAAAACAAGCAAAAAATTATAGCTAGAGTTTCCAAAATCTGAATTTCCAAACTGTACTAGGCCAGAGATGTGACACCCAAGTAGACATTATTTTAAAATATTCCTTGGTAAAAATACAGAAAGCTCAAAATAAAAAAGTAGAAGACAAGAAAATTAAATAAAGTACTAAAAGATCAATGACAAAAACATAAAAAAATTCACTTCCATAAAAAGTACTCAAACTTGAGATAAAGAGAAAAATCAAGCTGCAATTTTGGAGCTTAAATGATTTTACAAAGTAGAACAAGATGCAAGTTACCCTTGTGGCTACTGCTTCCACAAATACAGCTTCTATTTCAAGTGCACATTGTACAAATTGTACACATTGTTCTCTGTGAATGCACATACAGCACTTTGCAGATAAATATTAGGTGTCAAAGGCAAATGGTGTGTGTGTGTGTGTGTGTCTCAGATATACTGGAATTTTATAACAGACAATTTGTTGAAGGACAGTGTTGACACAGCCCGTGACCTAACATGTATGAATAAACAAGGACTGAAAAATGGAAGATTTCCAACCATAAAGCATGATTTTCCATATAAGTTTTCAAATGGCAAAAATGGCAAAAAGTGGAAAAAATGTCAAAGGTTCCTAAGTATTTGAACCAATTGAACTCTGTGTAGAACAGCCATTTTCCTTTAAGTCAGGGTTACTTCAAACTAAATATTTGAATTATGTTGTTCAAGTAAGTATCTGTAAGCAAATAATAAACAATAAATTGGGACTGAGACTGTCATATCATAAGAGTCAATGTCACATATTTTGATTAATAATTCAAATTCAACAAATTTACATAAAAGACTTACCGAAGGGTTATCCAAAATCATTTCTTCCACAGTTGTTAAGTCTAAACCTAGCCTGACACTGAGGACTTCAAATATGTATTTATATGAAGCATTAATTTTAGTTTTTCGAAATTCTCTTGCTTCTTTATATCGAGCCTAAAACATCAAACAACATGTATTTAAAAATTGAAAAAAAAGGCCCACAAAGTGGTTGTAATAATAGCCTTCTACGTAAATTGCAACTACTGCTAAACTCTACTGTCTTATAACCTATAAAACTATAAATTTAAGAGGCTAACAGCACAGCTTAGTAAAAATTATTATGGAAACATTGTCAACTCTTCGTATATGTCAAGGAAGAGCAAACATTAGCTATATTACAGGCCAGCTTTTAATGTACGTGTATGTTATATTAACCTTTTTTTCATAATAAGTATTTCAATTTATTGTATCGATACAGAAATGTCACTTAGCAGCTATTTAAAATTGAAGTACTTATACTGAATAAATATTTGCAGGAGATAAGTTGATGCAACTGAATAATCTGCAGTGAAACAAAGCTGTACTCTTCTGTTCTCTTCCTGTATTTTTTTAAAATAAAACCTGAAACTACTGAACATTAGAAAGACTCAATCAGTTTCTAACAGTCAGAATTTAATTTAAAAACCTGAATATAAATTAAAAAGGTTAAAAAATGCAACAACATTAACTGAATTTAATAAACTCCAAACATTTCAAGATCTAATGTTGAATACTAAACCTGTTTTTCTCTTAAGATTTCTTGCAATGATTGAACTCCACTAGTGCTTCGACGAAACTTAGACAACTTTTGATTTACTGGAAGAGAAGAGTCTTGTAAGGAGGACAAGTTTGCTGTTGGTCGAGCAGGGCCGGATGTGGGTCCAGCATCTTGTGGTGCAGTGAGGTCTGGTGCTGAATCTTCTGGCAGTGTGAGGTCTTGCCCCGAGCTCTCTGTCAGAGTGAGATCGCCCTCAGCATTTTCCCCAGCGCTTGAACTCTCTATATTATCGCTTGGTTCCTCCTCCATTCTGAAATATGAAAATTGCCAACCAGTGAATATTAAAATAATCCATATTTACCAAATCTATCTTTATAAGAAGAATGGTAAGACAGAGGATAAAAACAACACAAATGAGTGCATCTCAGAACTCACTTGCCTGCTATACAAACCTAATACTCTCATCAGATTCTCTTCAAGTCGTTCAGGTAATTTATCAGAAAATGTATATACATGCTTGTTACAAATATCATATTGAAGCCGATTACTGAAATTTAAAAATAATTTACCATATATTTATATTTTTGTCAATATCTTAACTATATTCAGTCAATACGTGATTCCTGAGAAACTGTAAAAAAAAAACACTGAGGAAAATTTTTAAAAAAGTTTATATTTTGATTTGTAAAATATAAACACCTACTCAGCAAATTAAAACACATAAAAGTTTGCACAGATTTCAGGTCTTAAAGCATTTCTCCCTTAAGCACTTACAAATTGTTTTTATACAGAATCCCCCACTATGCATAGCACTCAATACAGATCTTGTTTGCGAGAGTGATGTTGTAAGATTGAGGGTGTGATTAACTTCACTGGAAACATTTAAATTTTATAGTGGCACTATGCATCTATTTGACATGATTTAATTTTATAACATTATAGCATTTTAGAAAAACCAGAATTTTGACATTAAAAACATATCAGGATTAAAGGACAACCACAGCCAGGATTGTGTGGATTCTTAATATAATGCCCCAAAAACCGTACTGACTAAGTGTCTTACTACATTTTACAGAATACATAAGAAATTCCCAGAGCACCAGCATATAAACAACACAAGAAAGATTAAACCCCCTCAGACTATGACTTCCAAAATGGCCTATATCCATGGATGACTGCTCTGAACAGCAGCATGTCATGCCGAAGGCAGCTGCTATCATTTTTTCTCCCTCCTATTCCACTGCCACATAAATCAAGGAAAACTTTGATTTTTCAATCCCAAAACTGCCACACAATTCAGGGTGGCATGTAAGCATCTAAGTCTCTCTGCCTTTTCCCACTAGGAGGCTTACTCAACCACCTGCATTTGCTGACTTCTATGAATCCCACTCCTAAATATATATATATAAGATCAAATGTTTTATTCAGTAGCGTCAATTCTACATACAGATTGCACAGCTAGCATTTAAGCACTATAATAATCAGGACAGCTACACCTGAAGGCCCTACCTTGAATCTAATTTTGTTCCTTTCGAAAATAGCTTGTTTAGCCTCACAGTGCAGTTACTATTTATATTATGCTGAATATTTTAAAATATATGCAACGTTAAGGTATGTAATTTAGGAACCTTATCTGGGGTACCTGACAGAAACAAAAGCATGGAGATTGCTATTCTACTCAGAGGAATATTACCATAAACATTAAAAGAAATATCAAGAACTACACACTAATGCCTTAGAACAGCTGCCCACAGGTATGACCATGTGTTATATATATGTATGTATGTACATATATACACACACACTCTTTGAAACTATTGCCAGTCACAGGAGAGAGAGTTAGAACTGAGGCTGACAAAAAGAGTAATATATAACTCTACATTAGCAGCTCTTCATTTTTTTTCCATGACTAGCAAAGTTGCCACAGTTCTGTGGACTTTAGCATGCAAACCACCTCTTGCAGTGGTGGTGTTCTCTTCCCTAAAGGAAAAACATTAAGAAAAATCAACTTAGGAAAGTAATAAATTGAAAACATAAGATCTGAATTAATTAATTCCATGCTTACTGGGCTTCGATGGTATTTTCCTCCTTGAAATTCAGATGGAGTACACTGCATTTTAATTTCTATGTAATTACCTCTTACATTAATTTACCACTTGAAGTTGTCAGGTGGCAAAAACATCTTTCCCGAAAGCTCAAGTGCGTGATGGAAAGAGGATTTTCCCTTCTTCCTTTAGAAAGCAGTGTACACTGGCATCCTCCCTGATTCTCCAGGCGTCAGGGCTTAAGTTGTCGGGTGGCTCAGCTGAGATCCACCCATTCCTCAAAGTTCTTTGAGGAGAACTCCTGTAGGCTACACCTTGTCTTGAGGATCCAGTCACACAAGACAGCTGGAAACAGAGCCAGGCTTCCAGCACAACAAGGACATATATTTCAAACATGGTGTAAACTAACATAAGGATTCTACTTCCTCCTTGGAGCTCACATCCAAGCTTTAGTAACCTGTCTTCTACAGTGCCAAAAGCCAGCAGTATTTTACTCCCTGGTTCTCACAAGTCTTGACAGATGGATGATCGTCACTCTGTTACCGATGTTTTGGTAACAGCTGGAGGAATGTTACCTGAATTCTCTACATAGGAAATGTGTCTTCTGACGAGATTCAGAAATTGTTATCAATCCTTCTCCTTGTTTCACTAAACAAGCTAGGTTAGAAACAGTCTTATACTGGGCAGAAGATGAATGTTGGGTTTCTTTTAATAGAAGAATGGCAACTATATCCCTTTCAACAGAGTTTTATAAGTGTCTTCTATACCAGGGTCAAACTGAAAGTCATTACATTCAAAAAGCAACAAAACAAACACATTTTCCAACCTGCTGTTTGTCAGACTTCAAACAGTTTAGCAGATGCTGAAGGGCATATCATGGAAGTTTATATTCCTCTTGTATCTTTCATTTCCACCCAGTAGTGAATAAAATAATAAAAAAAAGATATATGTAATTTTTGATTATTGATAGATATTGATAGAGAAAAAATGCATGAGTGGTAGACCTTCAATCTGCCCAAGGCAGCTCTAACTTTCCTATTTTTAGATTTTCCATCCTTATACTGAAAACCCAAGTCGAGTGCTTGAATCACAAGAAATATTACCATTTCTTAGTACTTTTCACCAAACTCCGCACAAAAGACTCCCACATTGCCCAGATAACAGCAACAACAAAAAATCTGTGGCAAAATGCTATAAATATGCTTTCTAGAAAAGAAATGCGTTACCCGAGTCACCAGTAACTACTTGTCGTTTTCACTCCTAACTCTTGTCACTTTCAACCCCAACCCTTCAGAGCAGCAGTAGCAGGGAAGCAGCAGGGAAGCTCGGCGAGGGAACCAAGCCCCTCTTCCCAGCCGCTCAGGAGCTGCCGAGGTTTCCGCCCTCCCCCTCCGTGGAGCAAGCTCCCCGTGGAGACCAGTTAGAGAAAGGTTCGCTAAGCCTTCCAGCTTCAGTTCGCTAGCTCTCTTCACCAAGCAAAGAAGCGAGGCCAGCCCTAGAGCCCCAGAAACTGCTGCGGAGACACAGCTCCGAGAAGGTGCAGGAAAGGTGGGCGAGAAGGTAGGAAGAAAAGCAGGGCTCACTAGAGTAAAGCACGAGGGTTAGTGACTTCAGTCTCTCCTCCGAAAAGCTGAGCTGCCCTAATCGCCACTTCCCACCGACCTGAGCGCAGCGGCGCCTCACACGGCGCAACAATCCCCCACGGCCGCCGCGCCCGCGGGACGCAACCATCCC